TTGTGGGGTTAACGTGTGAAGTTGGAGGCTACAAAGAACAACAGAGATTAGGAGGCCTTGATTCTAACTTTGACTATAATTCTGGGGCAAGCTCCTTCTAGAGGCTATGGCTAAACTTAGCTTTTGAAAACACAAGAGACATGGCTTCATATCCCAACTCTGCCAACTGCTGTCAGTGTGACCTGGAGTCAGTAAGCTGACCTAGCTGACCTCTGTCTCTACCAGTGAGATGAGGATAACAGTGTAACCCCTCCGAGGATGAGGGTTAAAGACAACATATGTCACATCGTATCATTAGTGTAATGTGTGGCAGATAACACTCAGAAAAGGGCACTGCTGTTACTTTCCACTTTTATGGGTTCAGTTACCGAAATGAAACCACCGGAGCAGACCAGTTCTCAACCATTTCCTGCCCCAGGACCCCCGGGGAGCGCCCCGCGCTCCCACGAGGATAACCTGGAACAGTTACGGGCGTAATGTCTCTCCACCGGAGACACATCGGATTCTCTGCATTGAAGACGACAGAGAAGCTTTGAGACGCCTGCCAGATGATTTGGCTACACATCCTGGGAGAATAAATGGACGACACAGTCTCTGAAGGCTTGTCTGGTTGCAAGCTGCTGGGACTCTGACTCGTCTGTGGGGACAAGACGTTGAAGGAAACACCAGCTACTCTCAGAGACGATCTTCCAAACCCCGCAGCAAGGCCGAAGGTGTGGGCTGGAGGGCTGTGGGGTGGACCGGGCTGCGTGAGACTTCTTACACCTTTGCGTATTCAAGATCTGAAGGACCGTGGAATAAGTGGTAATTACCGTGTCCCGGCAGCCAACCGACCATTGACTGTACAGGAAGCCTCGGCTCTGCCTCCCTGGCCGCTTCTCTGACGCGCCGAGCAGGAGCCCCACCGGGCAGCGGCTCCGCTGGCCCAGCCATCTCCAGTATCATCATCAGAAGCAGTTAACTCAGTCCAGCAACCTAACAAATGTGTGCTGCCAGGCCCTGTTTCAGGCACTGAGGATACTCTACCAGCAAAACAGACAAAAATCCCTCTGCTTTTGAATTCACATTCTAGAGGGGTGGAGACAGGTGACAAGTAATAAATAAGTCATATAAGATGTTATAAGTTGCTAAGTGCTTTTAGAAAAACAACCAACCAACCAACCAAGCACAACAAGGACGAGAGGGAGACGAGGGAAGGGACTGGAATCGTCTGGCAGAAAGGGTCAGACGCATCACTCCCTCCCGTGGCTTTTCTGCTGCGCTCTGGTAGCAGCTCGCTCCGGCTTAGCTTGGCCTCGTTCAGCCAACTCTCCCCGGGGACCTGTTCTGCACCGGCCGGCTCAACACCCCCACCCTGACCCCGAGCTGACACGCGGGTGTGCATCTGCCTTCCCCACCATCCTCCAGAGTCAGGTTTGATTCATTTCCTTCCTTCACACCCACCCTGGATCCTTCAGGAGGTCGTGAAGGCTCCCAGACAACCTACTGAATCTGGCTACTTTCCAGCGACACCGTGGCTCCAACACTAGCCCCAGTCATGGCCGCCTCTCACCTGCGTGACCGCACACATCTTCCTGCCTCTGTTCTTGTCACACTTCAGGCTGTTATCCACTCGGGGGCCACAGTGACTGTTCTTAAACCTCTATCGGATATCTTTTCCTTGTGTAACGCCCTCCAAGGCTTCCCACTACACAGCGATGCCAACCTAAGTTCTCCCGGGCTCCAGGCGATAAGGTCCAGCTGCTTCTCTGCCCCACTGCCCTTCACTACCCTCTCATGCTTATAGCTTCACGTCCTGTTCCTTCCTGACCCTTGAACTTGCCACTGTTCCCACCTCAGGGCCTCTCCCCTTGCTGTCCTCCCTCCCCGTGTGACCCCCCCAAGCTTTCATGCTCATGTTTTGCACCGCGCCTCATGTCCTCACTAGGGGTCTCGAAGGAAGGCTCCACTCGGCATGAGCAGTGGCCCTTTCTCTACCACGTCGCTCTCGCTGGTCTTTTCGCATCTCTTGGTCATGACATCTCAACTGTGCGCCCTCTACCTTCCCCGCCCCCAGTATGATTTCAGGATGCCTGACTTCCCGGCCTCTGTCTCCCCGGCACTGAGAGCAGCCCCTCGGTCCCTTTCAAATTAAATCATCCCTGTCCTTCGGAGTTTACCTGAGATCCCACTTCCTTCCTCCTGACAGCCCCCAACTTCTCAGCTCCTGCTGCTCTCCTGTCCACACTCACTAAGGTCTACACTGCGTGTGACTCAGGGCTTGTAGTCTCTCCGATTCCAAGGGTGCTGTCCCCCCACTCGACAAGGCTCCGAGCAGAGACCCCTCCAGCCCAGCGTGTGGGAGCAGAGCGTCCGCAGTCAGGAGACATGTGCTCCAGCCTGGGCCCGTCACTGGCCAAGTCACTCCCTCCCTCTCTGCCTTGGCTTCCTCTCTGTGAAACGGGAGCAATACAAGCAGTACTTGCCACCTTCAGGATCGCCGTCAGAATTAAACTGGAACAACGCCAGAGGGAGTGCACTGGGCTGCCGCGTGCTCAAGGGAACTCCCAGATCCTAGTCCACAGTTAAGTGCTCACAGAATGCTTCTTGACTGATGGGTGGCCAGAGCTGGACTGACATGTTTTCATGATGCGAAGGCCTCCTGTATCCTCATTACAGGCACCATGGTGACTGGGAATCCGCTGTTACATCTCCATTCTGTCAGCATGTGGGAAGGCAAACGTCTACAGTTCCTGTGGCTGCGGTACCTGGGCCGCGCCGGCGCCGTGAGCGCGGGCAACCTCCAGCGGGGGACGCTTTTTGCCTGGCTGGACCACTAATTCACTCACCAAAGACGAGTTCTGTCCGGACTCTGGGCCTCAGTTTCCTGATCTGTGTACCTCAGAGCTGGACTAAATAAGTAGTTTTCAGACTTCAAAGTCATTATCACCAGCAACAGTACAACTTTCTTTCTCAAGAAAATATTGAGGAATACTTAAAAAGATAAAAGAGAGTGAATTTGGTTGAAGTGGAGAGTCAGATGCCCAGGGCACCACTAACCTAGATGACCTACTATAGATGGCCTCTACCTTGCTTTCAAGACGGAAACTTCTAAGATTTCCATAATTTTAAAAGATTTTAAAAAACTGTTTTGCTTCCTCCTCATTTAGTTCTGAAACTATTTTCTGCAATCAGCAGTTGACAGGATAGAGTAGACTGAGCTTTTCACAGCGTAATTTTCAGCTGAAAATGACTTTGGTCCCTGCCCACTTTGGAAGTTAACATGCCTTTGAGATGGAAAGTCTTGTTTTTCCACAGCTCCAGCCACAAATCCATTAAAGCTCAAGGAAAATTACTAAAATGATAGAAAACTGGCTGCAAAGGAGCAAGAATAAGGCCAATGGTAAAAACAGGTGTGTCCCGGGCCTTGTGAGCCGCTCACTCGGGCCGAGAGGAAGCAACTCCAACAGCCTGGCCCAGACGGCGCCGAGAGGTGGGCGCACTGCCCTCTCCAAAGCTCCCCTGCGGCCCAGCCCACCGGACCAGCCCTACTTACTGCCCTGTCAACCGCGACCACTCTCTGCAAGATGCTTCCTGGGAGCCTGGGTCGCGCCCTGGGAAACCCCGGTCCAGGCTGTTCCACTCCGGGTGGGTCTCCTCGCAGTCCCTCCTCAACCAGCCACACGACCTTGGGCAAGTGCCGCGGCCTCCCAGCGGCCAGGCCTGCTCGTCCACAGAACAGCAGTGCTAACGCTTCCGGAGCTGCCTCACCCAACAGGGTGAACACAATCAGATGAGAAAACTGGTGAAAATGCAGTTTGGAAATTTTTAAGGGGAGGAGTTATAATTTCACCCTAAGACGCAAAGCTGCAATGAGTTGATCAAGTAAATGCCCCAAATCCCAGAGGATAAAACCCTGCCCTGTCAACCACAATCTTTCATGGAGTCACAGGGCAGGGGAGGGTCACGTCTGCAACATAACCTCAGTTTAGAAAGTGCGCCCACAATTACAAGTGCAGAATGCAGACCAGCTGCTGCTAAACTACAACATCCTAAGTGATAAGTGACCTAAAGCTGGTCACAAGTCCCTCCAGCGGAGGTCAGGGTTCCGCCGTCACAGCCACGAAGTCTCTGTTACAAAAGGCACGCCAATTCCTCCCTCTGCACAGAGACCGGTACTCAGAGAAAAGCACCCGAGCGCTCTCAGGCCACCCCGAGAGCAGAGGCCCCATCCACGGCACCTCTGAGCCAGACCCCAACCTGTCAGACAGTTCAGAGCCCCCTCCACCACCTGAGGCCAGCATCTGACTTCTGAGGAAGTGCTTCTGACAAAAAGAGCCATTAAAGATAATAGGCATCAAGTGGCCCAGGCCGGTGTGATGGACAGACCAGCAGACGGAGATGCTGGAGTGGATGGAGTGAGCCGTCACAACCTGCTGTGACCGCGCATAAGTCCTTTGCCCTCTGGTCCTCGCCACCCTCTCCGTGTAATGAGGGGTCTGCGAAGGAGTCTAAGGCCCCTTCAGCTCTACCTTGTCATGATTCCATGTCTCCTCTGGACGTCCCCCTGTCCCCCGGTCCCTGTACTCACACTGAGGCCATAGCTGCAAGGCTGCAGCACAGGAAGCCGAGGAGGTAAGTCCTGTATTCCCACCAGGCTGGCTGCCAGAGGGCCACAGACCCTCAGAAGGCAGCAGCTTGAGTTTTAGATCTACTTAAAACCAAACAGGAAAAGGAAGCTGAACCAGAGACAAAGGGGAAACAAACCCCAGTCAAGAACTGAAACCTGGGTAGAAAATAGAGAAACAAGAGCTCACAGGGCAGAGCACCCCCCCAACCCATGTGGGTGGCCAAGAGCCTCAAGCTCAGGGGCTTCCTGCCGGGCGAAGCCGGGGCCTGGGACGGGTCAGGGCCCAGCCCCTCCCACCCAGCACAGAACACCGAACAGAGTCGGTGCCCAGGGCTCCTAGACCCGGCATGGGAAGGTGCCCTCGCCCAGCCTCCAGAGAATAAAAGACTACCTGATGAGGTTTATACAGCCAGTGAGGGCGTCCTGTTTTACGGTGGTGTGAATTTTGCACATCTGCTGGGGAGACACTTCTCACTAACGGTGATGTTTCTGTCAGCAGCTTAGGGCCTGAAAGGAAAATGTCTGAGGAATGATGGAAACCTGGCATTGTCACTGGCTCATTAAGTGAACCTGGGCTTCTGCTTCCTCAACTGTAAAATGGGGCTAATGA